CTGCATTGCCTTGTGGAAGAGCTTACCAACACTGTTGAAACAACCGTCACTTCCTTGTTGTTTCTGGAGCCAAGTGCTGGTTTGGTTCAAGTCCTTGTTGTCAATCTGAAATTATCCATAAAACCTTCACTATACAGGATTTTGATCGGAAAGATAAAGTTCAGAAAAAAAACATGATATTTCTCTCGAACGTTCTGTGAACTGCCTTCTGGAGCAACAATGTTGCATATCAACATTAACAGAACTTGGTTCGTTATCTCGCAAGGTGAACATATACATGTGGTCTACCTGCCTGGAGGTTACCTGGAGGTTATTCCGGGGATCGACGCCCCCGCGGCCCGGTCCACGACCAGGCCTCCCGGTAGATCAGGGCCTGATCAACCAGGCTGTTACTGCTGGCCGCACGCAGTCCAACGTACGAACTACAGCCCGGCTGATCCGGCACTGACTTTAGGTATCTGTCCAGCTCTCTCTTGAAGGCAGCCAGGGGCTTATTGGCAATTCCCCTAATGCTTGATAGGAGGCTGTTGAACAGTCTTGGGCCCCGGACACTTATGGTGTTTTCTCTTAGTGTACCAATGGCGCCCCTACTTTTAGTTGGGGGTATTTTGCATCGCCTGCCCAGTCTTTTACTTTCGTAGGGAGTGATTTCTGGGTGCAGATTCGGGACAATTCCTTCCAGGATTTTCCAAGTGTAGATTATGATATATATCTCTCTACTGCGTTCCAACGAGTACAAGTCAAGTGCTTCCAAGCGTTTCCAGTAGTTAAGGTGCTTGACAGAACTTATACATGCAGTAAAGGATCTCTGTACACTCTCTAGATTTGCAATTTCACCTGCTTTGAATGGAGATGTTAATGTACAGCAGTATTCCAGCCTAGAGAGAACAAGTGATTTGAAAAGGATCATCATTGGCTTGGCATCTCTCGTTTTGAATGTTCTCATTATCCATCCTATCAGTTTCTTTGCACGTGCGATCGTGGCACTGTTGTGATCCTTGAAAGTGAGATCCTCAGACATTACTACTCCTAGGTCCCTTACATTATTTTTTCCGTTCTATTGTATGGCCAGAGTCTGTAGTATACTCTGTTCTAGTTATTATGTCCTCCAGTTTTCCGTTGCCCACTGAAAAACTTTGTTTACATCTTCTTGGAGGTTAACCGTGTCCTCGATAGATGACAGTCTCGTGCAGATCCTTGTATCATCTGCAAAGGATGATACGGTGCTGTGGTGTATATCTCTGTCTATGTCTGATACGAGAATGAGGAATAGGATGGGGGCGAGTACTGTGCCTTGTGGAACAGAGCTTTTCATTACGGCAGCCTCCGATTTAACTCTGTTAACCACTACTCTTTGTGTTTTATTTGTTAGGAAGTTGAAGATCCATCTCCCCACTTTCCCAGTTATTCTTTTAGCACGTATTTTGTGCGCTATTACGCCATCATCGCACTTTTCAAACGCTTTTACAAAGTCTGTGTATATTACATCTGCATTCTGATTTTCTTCCAGTGCATTCAAGGCCATATCATAGTGATCCAGTAGTTGTGAGAGGCAGGAGCGACCTGCCCTGAACCCATGTTGCCCTGGATTGTGCAGTTTTTCGGAATCCAGGTGATTTGCAATCCTGCTTCTTAGCACTCTTTCAAAGATTTTTATGATGTGGGACGTTTGAGCTATTGGTCTAAAGTTCTTAGCTAATGCTTTGCTGCCATCTTTATGGAGTGGGGCTAATCCGCTGCTTTAAGTAACTGTGGAATTTCACCCATGTCCAAGATCCTCCTCCATAGTGTACTTAGGGCACGTGAGAGGAGTTTCTTGAAGTTCCTAATGAATATAGAGTTTCACGAGTCTGGGCCTGGAGCTGAATGCATGGGCATGTTGTCAATGGCTTTTTCAAAGTCTATCGGAGTTAGGGTAATGTCGGAAATCTGGCATACATTTATGGAGTTTTGAGGCTCATTCATAAAGAAATCATTTGGGTAGTTGATCCTCAGACTGATTAGTGGTTCACTAAACACACATTCGTACTGGGATTTCAGTATTTCACTCATTTCCTTGTTGTTCCTTGAACTGTTGGGAGGTTGCATCTGGTGGCTTATATACAACCACTATGACTAGGTTTTGGTTCTCGATCTTTATTGATAGAACTTCAACTACCTCATTTGTGGTGTTCAGCAAGTGTAAATTAAACACGGTAGCACCCACTCAAACACTCAAAAAATCATAGGTGTCAGCACCAACCTTTGTGTGTTATTCACTCCAAGACACCTGAGAACTCCGCACCACTAATAATATGCCAGGAACAGTACACTGTAGCGACCTCAGAAATGGACGACATAATTATTATCTTCATTAATGTATTAGCGCAGCTTGTAACGGTGATGGTGATTGGTTGAAAAATTAATTGCCGGTAATTAATTAATTGTCGGTGTCTATATAAAAGGAGATTTATGAATGAAGCCATTAATTACCAGTCGGATATATCCAATATTATAAACAATACAATTTATTTAAAAAGGTGATGGAATATATTGTAAAGGAACTGTTATGATGACAGGTCTATAATCATCATACATCAGTCAAGTTTGCTGCAAGAGTTGCATGCTTAATTATTATTATTATTATTATTATTATTATTATTATTATTATTATTATTATTATTATTATTATTATTATCAAGAGAAGCGCTAAACCGCAAGGGTTACACAGCGCATTGGATGGTTAAGACAAGCTCGGTCTTAACAAAATATTGGTAATTTCTATAATAATAATAATAATAATAATAATAATAATAATAATAATAATAATAATAATAATAATAATAATAATAATATTTATTTACTACAAGTACAAGGTATACAGTCCTAGCTGACATCACTGACATACTACTACATAGAAACCCCCTTGTTATGCAGAGCATTTCGAGCAAATTAGCTCACTTTCGTCCCAGGATGCGACCCACACCAGCAGACTAGCATCAAGGTACCCATTTTACTAATAGGTGAACATACACATCCCGTGTAAAGAAACACGCCCAATGTTTCTACCCTCGCTGGGAATCGAACCAAGACCCTCGCCATATGAAGCGAGAGCTTTAGCCACCAGGCTAGGGCGTATTTTAATATTGACCCCATAAATAAATAGTTTAAGGTGTTAGTTCTTCTTTAAGGTGTTAGTTCAGAAGAATAGAACAATAATCTACGTTAACCGTCTCCTAGAACAGGATATTTAGCTTAGTGATGCTAATTCCTTGGATAGCTTTAAGATTTGGTTTTACAAACATTTGAGCAAGAACTGATGAATCTGTATAGGACTTACGTAATGTTCTTATGTAATATTAAAGTTAAGTTTCAGTGTTCAGTGTGGAGTGACAAACAACAGAGGTTGTGTACAGTTGGTGTACTTCAGGTGTGGCGGGAGTAGACACACGATTTACCACTCACAAACACCGCTAATAATATTATATTGTGGAATTAAAAATATTGCAGATAATAGGCACATAGTAGGAGTCCTGCAGTTCGTTGTTTGAGATGGGAGGATGACTGACTCGAGAGGAAATTATTCATTCAACTACTTTTGATATAAATATTTAACAACATTGAGTTAGAACAGTGGTGATCCATGTTTCCCTCCTCACTACTGTTACAAAAAAATCTCTCTCCATCTAATGTGGCAAGTTACAAAATATTCGAGTAGATTCATTTCATTATTTTTTCAAGGTTTCATTTTTTGCTTCAAAAATTCGGTCATACTTTCGATAATTATCATGTCACTAATATTCGGTTCGTGAGGTTATTACTACAATATCAGTGCTTGTGGGCTGGCTGTCTTCTAATGTTTTAATATTCAGTCTTTCTGGCATGGGGCACTAGGCACTGGGGATTGGTATGTCTGTGGCACTTATCGCCTCCTGCCTTCCTCCAACCTCATGTAAGCTTCCTCTGAACGTATTTTTTTGGAATTTCTGCTTTTCTCTCCAATTCTGCAAGCTCCTGATCATGTGTTCAGTTGCAAAACGAAAGGCCTATATCTGTTATTCAACTCTCGCAGAATATTTCGCAGATAAAACTGGAAGTGTTAGCGATCGATGGTAGAATAACTGCTTTTATCCAGATCATTTATCTTGTATAAAAATGTATAACATTCATCTCCATCCAATTTACTTCATTGTCTTACTACCCTGAGCATGACTAAAGTTTTTCCTAATATCAATTTGATCTTCACAGCATTTTTACCTTCCATATACATCAAGTTGTCCTTAGTTCCACTAACTCCTTCAATGATCAGAAACACTGTGCTCTATCGTGTTCATTCAACATTCTTTGCAATATGACAGTACTGAGAGGTAATTTGTTCATCGCTTCTGAGCTTCCATTTAATAACATGATTCTTCGAATATGCGACTTCAAAAGTTTCTGAACCCGGTTGTTATGTTTTAAACGTGTAAAACAAATGTTAACTCACCAAAATGAATTCCTGAGCCTGAGCGAAGGACTTTAGAACAAAGGCCGAGAGCCAAGTGGAGCCAGAATCATCAGCGTTGCCGAAGGCGCTGTAGGAGCCATCACGTCTCCGGTACAATAGCTCTCGTTGATAACCTGTAAACATAACACATTAAGCATTTAATACATGTGAGCGGATAATGGTAAGCGATCACGAGTGTAAGCAGGTAACATTAACACTGAATGTGAGCAGGTAATATTAACACTGAGTGTGAGCAGGTAATACTAACACTGAGTGTGAGCAGGTAATGGACTTACTGAGTGTGAGGAAGCAATATCTGAGTGTAACAGTGGAACAGTCTACCTAGTTGGGTTATTGAGGCTGGGACTTTGGGTAGTTTCAAATTTAGGTTGGATAAGTGGGGATCAGTAACAAGTGGCGTTCCACAGGGATCAGTCTTGGGCCCGTTGTTGTTTATAATATATATCAATGATCTTGATGAAGGAATTACTAGTGATATGAGCAAATTCGCCGATGACACGAAGATAGGTAGGATACAATTAAACAATACAATTAAACAAAACAACGGCAGCTTCACCATCTCCGAAGTCTTAGCAAGAATCCTCCTGAAAACAGAAAACCCTGCCATCACATAGTCTCTCCTGTTATACTACACAAAGCACATTACAGAGAGTGAACACTGAAAAAAACCTGCCTATTTCCAGTCTATATTTGTCCAACCTATTTTTATGTTACCCAAGTAATAGCTTTTATATCCTTTTACTCATGTACGAATTAATTGCTCTTCCTTATTGTATTATTTTTGTTACTACTACTACTACTACCACCACTAGTGAACATCGAAATCTTACCTCACTAGTATTGCACCGCCTTTATATACCCTCTGTGTCCATGTATTGTTTGTAATGGCTTGATAAAGCTCCTGGAGAGCGAAACGTTGCCACAATAAATGTCACATTAGTTGCACTTGTGTCCTTTTACTTTACAGTGGTGACGTGTACTTAGCTGGAGTGGTGACGTGTACTTAGCTCAGTGGTGACGTGTACTTAGCTCTGTGAAGACCTATTTGTGTGCTCTCTGTGAATCTGAACCAGGATGCCCTCTCTTGAGCAGCTTTACCAGCAGCTGAGAGAAGAACTCAGAGTTGCTAAACTGGAGATACGGCGATTAACGGAGGAGAACAAGAGGATTCGTAGTAATCCTCCTGTTGTGAGTCCCCAGGTTAAGAGGGGAGCTTGGTCAGTGGCCGGGCAACATGGAACCAAGCTGAAGATCAAGAAAACGGTTGGAGAGGCGGAAACAACGAGAAACCAGAAGACTACCGTGGAAACTTCCAACTCATTCTCGGTGCTACCTGACGAATGTGAGTGTTCTGCTGGGAATGCCACAACGAGCACCAAAGAAGCATTGGCAGACGTGAGTAAGACATCCCTAGAAACCCCAACGAAGACCATCGAGAACGTCTTGACGAATTCTACAAGTGGTGTTATTACCTGGCGAATGTGAGTCGACTACTCGGAGCATCACGACGGACGACGCCAAGGAAGGTAAAAACATTGTTGTTGTTGGGGATAGCCAGATTAGGTACATGGATAGGGCATTCTGTTTGAAGGATAGGAGTAGGAGGCAGAGAGTGTGTTTTCCTGGGGCTGGGATGAAGGATATTGTTAGCCGTCTGGATGACATCATGAGAGGTAATGGGAGCAATCCTATTATCTGTCTCAGTGCTGGAGGCAACGATGTTGGCAGACGTAGGAGTGAGGACCTGATTAGCAGGTATAGGTCAGCAATAGAGATAATTAGGAGGAAGGGTGGGAAACCTGTCATATGTGGCATTTTGCCAAGGAGAGGAGTTGGAATGAATGGTTGTCCAGAGCAATTGGTGTCAATTGCTGGCTGGACAAGTACTGTAAGGAAAATGCGGTAACATTCATTGACAACTGGGACCTTTTCTATGGCAGAAATGACATGTATGCCAGGGATGGGGTTCACTTATCTAGGTGAGGGGTGGGAGCACTGGCCAACGCAGTGGAGGGAGCTGTTAGGTCTTTAAACTAGGAATAGTTAGTGGTATGGGTTTTGGCGGGAAAACTGTGAAGTCGCAGGGTAGTAACATGAGTACTAGGAGAACTAGTAATAGGCAAAATGAGGTGGATATTGGAAAGCCAGTGGCACTAATTGACAAGGACAGTAATAAGTTTAGTGGAATAACAGAAAGGAGCAGGAAGGGTAAAGAGAGTGGAGGGTCCTTAAGTATATATTACACAAACAGTCGCAGTGCTAGGAATAAGATGGACGAGTTGAGACTAGTTGCTAGTGCAGGTAACATAGATGTATTTGTCATTACTGAGACGTGGTTTAACTCAAAAAGTCGGGACATGCCTGCAGAATGTCACATTCAGGGTTTTAAATTGTTCCAAGTAGATAGAAGTGTCGGGAAGGGGGGTGGGGTGGCATTGTATATCCAATCGTTTGAACGTTGCAAAAAAACGGTATAAAATCTGAAGTAACACATACAAGTCTGTTTGGATAAATTTTCAGAGGGCATAAAAATTTCTTTTTGGGTGTGATATACCGTCCCCCAAATTTAGATAGAACCCAAGGGGAGACACTATGGGAGGAAATTTTTTGGGGCCACAAGGCACGATAATGTAGTAATTCGGGAGACTTTAACTTTAGTCATATGTTTGGAATTTCTTGCGGGGGAATTTAGAATCATACGTTTTTCTTAAATATTCAGGATTGTTTTTTTGAAGGGTTTGTGACAGAACCACAAGGGAAATAACCTCTTGACTTAGTTCTGGCAAACAAAAATCCCTTTTAATAATTTAGAAGTTTCAAGGAACGGGGTCTAGCGACCCAAATCAATTGAAGAAGTTGATAGTAGGGATAACTCAGAAAACGTCCCAATTTTCGCTTAGCAAAAACGATGGGTTTAGAGCATTTATCATCGTTGACGGGGAAACGAAAGAGCTATCAATATGACAGTTTCTGAACAAAATACATCTGCTCAAAGAACGTTTATCCCTTATAAGGAATAGATCAAATAGAATGACCCAAAAGGGGTAATAAAGGCTAAATTCTACTAGGGCATAAAAGGAATTTATGGGCATAAAAAAGGGCAGGGTCATCTTATGAATCATATATTACATTAGAGGGACATTAAAAAGGGATAAAAAAGAAAAAAGGGACTTGAAATTAAGTTGCGGGGATTCTAAAAACTAACCCAAAAGTTTTTTCCGGGTATAAGAACAAAAGTCAAGATAAGATAGGTCCCCTTAAAAAAACTTGGGCATTTTACTGACAAAGAGAATGAAATGTCTCGATTTTAAATAATTATTTTCTCTCGTTTTACACAGGAGACACAATAATTTTCCGGAAATTTAAATTTTTTATAGTGGATCAGAAGAAGAAAAAATTATGTAACTCACATCACTATGAAAGGGTTTTGAACAATAGACCGACTAAGAAAAATAATCCCCCCGGGGTCCTGATGGGGTTTTTTTCAAGGTTTTTTAAGGGAAATGCAAAATGGAAGGGAACCTTTAACTAATTTTTTTAATTTATCTCTTAAAAACGGGTAAGGGTGAGAATGGTTTTTTGAAAAACCGCAATTTGAAGATTGAACCTTATGCACAAATGGGAACTTTATTCAGGAAACTTTTTCGCCACACAGGGCTTCACATCCAATACAAAGGGGAAGCTAAGGAGAGGGGGAAAAAGGGAATCAGCCCCCTAAAACCTGGCGATGTTTTTCTCCATCAATCTTGTAAAATTGATTGATGGACTAACACACGACTCCAGTTAGGGGCGATTACCTCATTCTCCTCCTCTCCTACGCCTTTCCCCTTGATTACTGATAAGCCACTGTTTTGGGGAAAATTTCCTGAAAAAGATTCCCCTATCTGAATGTCTCAAACTTCAAAAGGGGGCAGTTCTGATATGGGAAGATGGGTAATGTAATTTATTTTTTTAAAACAGGGGACAAGCGTTACCGTCAAATTACCGCCCAATAAGCCGACCTCAATTGTAGGGAAATTACTGAGTAATTATAGCTGATTTTTAAAAAAACCCTCTCGATAAACATAGCTTATTAAAGATACTCAGCATGGGTTCCAAGAGGCCGGTCCTTTCAACTAATTTATTAACTTCTCAGTAAAGCTTTTTAGGCGTTGACACGATAAAGAATTTTATATTATTTTCTTAATTTTAGTAAGGATTTGATAGAGTTCCTCCCCCAAAGACGTTGAAGAAAATACAGCCATGGATTGGGGAAGGGGGCTCTCGTGGATCGAATCATGGCCCAACAGGAAGCAAAGAGGTCCATAAAGGGGTTAAATCCGAGTGGGGATCATAACAAGGGCGTGGAAATAAAGGATAAAATACCGACACAATGCAATAAAAACAAATGCAGTATAATGTGATCCTTTTTTGACTACTTTTTCCCCCACACGGGGCTTTTCAAGTCACAAACAGAACTACCTGGGGGGGAAAGGGAACGCGAGTATTTATAGTCCGGCTGAGGTCAGGTGAAGAATGCTGCATCTGATGATGTACCGAGTTGGGTTGTAGAGTCTAAAAACTTGGGTAGCTTGGAAAGGAGACTGGACAAGTTTGTGAGCAGACCTTCTACAGTGTTCTTATGTGGGATAGCGATGAAGAAGTTTCTTGGCAAGTGGTTCAGCTATGTTATAGAAGCCACAAATTCTGGTTGAAGTTGTCGGATATAGAAATAATGATGATTCCAGAATTCTTCGGTATTGGGTGTTGTCTTCTGTGGCGATAAGTCTTGAGTTTCTGTAGTTTATCAAGTTTATCACCGTAATTCACACAACCACTTGATAAACTACAGAAACTCAAGACTTATCGCCACAGAAGACAACACCCAATACCGAAGAATCCTGGAATCATCACTTATTTCTATATCCGACAACTTCAACCAGAATAGTGGCTTCTATAACATAGCTGAACCACTTGCCAAGAAACTTCTTCATCGCTATCCCACATAAGAACACTGTAGAAGGTCTGCTCACAAACTTGTCCAGTCTCCTTTCCAAGCTACCCAAGTTTTTAGACTCTACAACCCCACTCGGTACATCATCAGATGCAGCATTCTTCACCTGACCTCAGCCGG